AAATAATATAGTTTTTATAATGTCAGGTAGATTATGAGTCTAAAGCATGTACCCAATGTAGAGCACAAAGCAATCTGACGTTGTTCCTCTGAAACAAAGATAGCGATTCAATGAATTCTGCACTCTGCACTGTGACATCTTTGCAGTTAGCATCACTTTCATCATGGGTTATGAGACTGTGAGAGTGTGCATGTGGCTACCACAGCTCCGAACAACCTGCGGATAAGAACACACATTTCACAGTTTCTATATTATATTCTTAATTCAAAAAGCATTGTGCTGAGTCAAATCTCAACTCCTGCTTTCATTGGGGGCCATCTGATTGGCTCAGAACCCACTTTCACTTCTCGTTGCTACGTTGGGCTTTGTCTGTAATAATGCTGTTTGAATAAAAGAAAGAGTTCAGCCTGTGTGCGGCCCTCCTCTTTGTTCACAGCTACACCAGCACAAATCTATAAAGCTTTGGGTGCTTCTTCATTTGATTTCAGAGCTCAGAGCAAAAAAAATAAATAAAATGCTGCCTCTTTTCTTATCCCTTCATGCCACCTCCCTGTGTTAGTTTGAGTCCATTTGCTCCAGATTTGGGCAGCAGCACAGCTGGCCTGAATGACAGTTCAAATCCCTCCTTGTTAGACCTGACTGAAAAGGAGGCCTTTGGGAGGACTAGCTCGGTCGCTACTGCAGGCCACACAGCGGCTTCCGCGGAGCACCGGTTCTAGAAATGTGATTTCAGGGTGTCCAGGTGTGTGAGAGGAGTCCACAGTAACGTAATAAGGCGCTGTTCAGAGCACCAGAGTCTGAATGAATGATCTGATGAAAGGCGCTATTTTTAATGAACAAACAGGCGGGAGCGCGCACGCGCACACACCTAACGGAAAGTACCCCAGTGACTGTCGGGTGAGCTTCAATGGATGTAAAAGATTTAAAAACACAATAATATATGTACTAAATATGCTATTAGGGTTACTTTAAGGTAACTATGGAGTACCAGTGTCAAACAATACGTCCCAGTGGGGGTTTTATAGGGACAATGGAGAGAGAGAGAGACAGACAGAAAGACGGTAGTTTTCACATGATAACGTAAATGCAGTTTTCTTTCTTACCGTCTTCGGCATCTTTCCTTTCTTTTACGTCCGGTTCAGGTTTTATTTAAAAAAAAAAGTTCTTAAATCAGACCAGTTAGCGAGACCAGAAGAAAACTTTTTCCCATCAGAAGCACGGCGCCAATCAAACGCCTTCCTGTCTCGAGGAAGCTAACGTTACTTTTAGCTTGAGTACGAAGTATTTTCAGCCGTGCGCTCGCGAGCGTGTTTTTTTCTTTGTTTCGCCTTAAAGTGAAATGGACTGGAGCTTGATTTCCTGCTAACGGTACCCCCGACTGCAGAAAACCACACCCAGGCCGATGACAGGACAGCAGCCAGCCAGACTGAAAGAGAGAGTTCAGGCCAGCAGACTCCGCCTGCAGCAGCCGCATCATCATGGCTGCAGTGAGCTGCCTCTCCACTCTCTGACAAAAAGTTCAGCTGCACTCTCTCAGCACACACCGAGGACACCAATCTGACACCAATCTGACACCAAGCCTCAAAATAATCATTCATGTATAAGGATACTTTAAGAAGCATGCAGAAATGTGGAATAGCCTGTAAGCACATCACATCAGTACGATTAAAGAAAGCCTATCAAAAGGTGCAATGACTTTTATAACCTACTTTAGAAACAGTAGAACACCAGAGGAGGGTTGGTGCAGTCTGCCGGCAACCAACAGAAACTATTTGGTAGATAATAATCATAAAATCCTTTTAAGGGGTTTAGAGAAAGGGTCTTTTAAAAACTTACTACACAGGCAACTACTGAATAAACTAAAGTATTTAGTAGTATTCAGTTTCTTGTCATTTGTTTCTGCTTAAGTACACATTTCCAATATATATATTATATATTCAATCAATGTATTTATTTTCTATTTCATATGATGGTCTTATTACTGTATCGTTGAGCTTTTTGTGGTCATTGTGTGTCTGCACACTGCCATCTATTCTGTCTACATCAACCATGTCAACTAATCTGTTTCAGTGACTTTGATCTGTGTTCTGTTTCAGTTTTCGACATAAAGGAAGTTAATACAACGAGCATTGAAGTCGTGGTGGCCCTAACTGCACCTGCAACAGGGTTTGAACCACTTTTAAGTAATTACAGGAGGTATACACAATCATGTTTTAAATAAACTCTGAGGTAACTTCACAATTTCACTTCTGTAAACTTGGGTTGAATGAAAGTTATACCAGAGGTCATGTCAATCAGCGGTTTTGAGTTTCAAAAAGGCCAAAACATCTGCGTCCAAACCGCAAAGAAAAGTGAAATATCAGGGCAAAACGCCTAAAAACTGATGACCATGTGAAGCACAGATTATAACAGCAGTAATAATCTAGTATATTTGAAATGTCTAACTCCCTCTATGTCATATATACAGACTCCAACAGAAAGGATCATAATGTAATGTGGTGGAGACAGTTGTTGTTACCACACACATTCCCAACGGTGCTGTAAGTGACAGAAACATTCAGCTGGGCTAAGATGTGGTGTCCTGGGTGGCACAAGAGCATGGGGTGTTGTTACGAGTTGTTTTCGTAGTCATCAAACCGTTCTGTCCTGGATATCCTGGAGAAATGCTCCTTTAAAGGGAAACCCCGAACACTCAGAATAGCTTTGTGCTTATTGAAATGTACCTTGCGTCAGACGTCCGGCTGCTGGTCGGCCAGACTGCTTTATCATGGGAGACAAGACCCCAGGCCTCTCTGCTTTTGTTGGTGTGCACCAGCTAGAGCACGGTGACTCACCAACCATACTTTCCCCAGCTCTCAGCAAACCAAAATATGTCATTTTTGTACCACTTCACCCACGAGTGTTGTGTGTGTAATAAACGCTCAATGCGTTAAAACTCAGTCATACCATCTGTCTCTGGCTCCTCCGGATGAAATTTCCTCCTCCACCAGATTGAGAATTTGTCGTCAACAGTGTCTGACTGACTCAAATCATTGCACAATCACACATTGCCCTCCACAGCGGCGCCTAGCTGATTATGTCTTAACTTATATTTTTTCAGTTAAATCTGTGTTTTTCTACTTTTGCTTCATGTGTCCAAGTCACAAAGGTATTTTGCTGATGTCTCTTCAATTAAGTTGACTCTGTCTGTCCAGTGTTTTCATGTAATCTTCAGTTAGTGTTCTTGATGTAGGTTTAGTTTTAAACCTTAACTCTGAGTATGCCTTCTAACATATTATTTACATATTTAAATGATGATTTAAAATCAAAATATAAGCAAAAACAAGGGACTGTAATGCTAAATATACACTCGCACAATGTCGAAGTAGAAATGACAACAGCAGCTGATGATTAGAATCCAAAAGTGACTGCATGAAGGAATCCCTGGAGACCGGCTGGTGCTTTAATATTCCCGGAGAGAGCACAGCGCAGAGACGTCACTGCGTTTCTATGTTGACTCATCCCTACACTCCCAGGGCAGAATGACCTCCCACAGTCTTAACTCACTGAATGAGCGGCTCACTGCAGCTGAATCAAAGGCAAGATGGTGCGTAATCCTCCAAAGTCAAGGTTGATGCTGACCTGTGAAAATTGTGCTAAAATCCCTCATCTGGCCAAAGAGAACAGACCTTTTGAGGAAGGTCGAAATATCAAGTCCTCCTTTATTATTATGATTACTGTGTAGATTGCACCACAGTTTATAAAATATAGTTATATAGTTATATTCACGGTACACAGAACTGTACGTGGGGTCAACACAGATGTACCTATTAAGTAATCAATATTAGTGAGTTTGGAAGTGTTATCTCTAGTCACTGTACTTTTATAGACGGATGATTATAGGCAGTTAGGAGTTTCTTTTTGAAGCTGTAGAAACTCTGAAGACTTTAATGTGTTGACATCTAAGATGGTGCTATTGTGTAATCGTGTACAAGTCTCTCCTTATGATACTGCACATGTCAACATGATATATCACTGCAGACCTCGTAGCAAATGTAAAAATGTAAACAGTCAGTTAGGCACAAGCAGCAGTAGCCTCTTTTTTACTTTGATATATTGTATTAGTTAAACAGGCCCTTTTAGTGTCATTCATGTGAAATCATAAAAGTCAGTTTACATGCCTGTGTGTTTGAATGACACATGCCCTGAGCTATTACAACATTTAACCAGCAGATAGTGTGCATGTGCTGTGTAACCTGTTGCACAGCTACAGCTACTGTACATACAGAGGGGTGGAAGGCGTGCATATGCAAGAAACAAAGTAACAACATGGTCTTGCTTGTGTCTAACTATACAAGTTTCAATATACTATATTAAAACATTCAGCCTATAGATGCACAAAAATGACACGCGGTTGTTAAGGGGGCAAAAGGTCATGGCTCTGCTGGGATTAGTAGTACCAAGTTTACCGTTTTGATTAGCTGCTTGCAGAGTACCTTTTAATTCTACATGGTTTTGCCATACCACCACCAAACCTATGAGGCCATTGCACAAGTTGCCAATAAATCAGATATTACTTTCTTTGGCTCAATTGTTCCCAATTTATTTACTTTCCTCTACCAAACAATGAAGACTATTTTCAATGAACAACCATTTCAAGCCATCTATTCTGCTGTTATGGGGAAGGCATGAACTGGATACATCTCGCTTTTTTCTGTTGTGGGTTAATTTACTCAAGATGTGTAATAGTTATTGAATATTTGGTACAGAGAATGCTTGAATCTTAGGAAATGTTACTTACTGCATACGCTGCTGGAGGATGAGAGCTATACATATTGATCAGAAAGCATACTGAGATATTCGGTAAAGGGAAATATTTTCCTACCTTTCTTCACTTTAGACATCACAGTTTATTTTTTATTTTCCCCCACATAAATAACTACAGTAGCCACAGCTTTAAACACTTTGTCATCTTGTCAGGTCTCTTTCCCGTCTCATTAAAAAAAGATAGAACACAAGTGTGAACAGAATTTTGCTTTATTTATGGAGAGAAACACATTTTGTCATTAAGACTTACATTTTGTTTGAGCCCACAGACCCAAATATTCTATTTTTTGTATATTTTGGTCTAAAAAAGCGATGCCTTCCAGTCAATGTGGATTACAATACCGCAGATCATCACAACACAAAAAAAAACTTGCTTTATATTTCCCTTTTTACATTGCAGACTAAACGGTCTGCCTCAAACAGGAGACCTCCACTCCTTCAAAATGTGACCACTGCATTTCTCCATATTAGAAAACACCCAAGTATGTGATTTAAAATGTTTGTGTGATTTAACCTGAGTATTACACTGTGTATATATGTACAGTCATATTCAAATGTGTGTACCTCTTGTCGTGCCAGCAATTCACTTTCTGAATTATATGGTAGTAAAAACTGCAAGACGTCAAGGGGTTCACAATTATTTGACCACAACTGTTAATGTGTCTGAACCAATTATCATAACAGATATGTAATGTGTCAAAAAATCACTTTGGTCTTGATCTTAGCCATCAACAACTGATACCGAACTTAAGGTAATTCTATATTGACAATATCAGTCTTAACATCTTGAAAATAGCACTAGTCTAATTCCCATAGGGTCAGCTACAACCTACAGACTGGTCATTTCAAACAACAGAATGCAAACTGCCCAAAATGATGAAATTACAGTTGGTGAATAATTCAACACACCACAGCTTTGTCAACATACAGGGTTCATCATTAAATCAACTGCCAAACACTCCAAAAAGTCCTGTTTTAAAAGGATCTGTATCTTGAAAGAGGAATTAAACATCAAACACAAATCTGAGTAAAAACTGACACTGAACCATGCCATTCAGTATGCTACTGATACTGCCCTTTTCTGATACTCCCACTGCAATTTCTGTATTATGCTTTAAGTGTCCGTCTAGACACAGATTTGTGTTTGGTGTTAAGTTACTCTTAGTTTACATCAAGTGGAAAATAAATCATTTGTCCCCTGAAATATAGAATTCATTGCATGACAACCCGTGTGTTGAGTCACAAAAAATTATGTTTGACAAAGTCACCCAAGAATAACTTTGGCATGTTTTATTAGGCAAAATATATTTAAAAATATTGAAATTCCCATTAAAATAGCATAAAGCAGACATGTCAATTCAGAGGAAATAGATGCACTTAACCAAGGTGCACAGATTACAACACAGAAATTATTTAGTATTTGAACAACTGAAGAAAGTGTTACTGTTACATTTACAGATCGCCTTCTATATATACACACACACGTGTGACTATTTACAGAGAGGACATGATGCTTACTGCTGTACACAGGGTATCTGTGCACCTTTATGTAGCACGTAAATGTCCCTGTAAGTTAACTACTGTACCCAGTAAGAATTAGTACATACCAATGGGCTACTCCCAGTGACACACAGTGTCACAAACATTATGGCATTGATTTTTTCCCCCTTTATTTAAATAAAACTATTTTCATATTATACATTTCATATTTTGTTACATTCAAGGTATAGATACAATTTGTATCAACAAGCAAAAGTCAATTCTAGACATTTGTGGCTTAGTTGTTTGCGGCACTTTCAAAAGGGAGGGTGGGGACTATGAACCACCATTCTGGCATTTAGTGTAACCTTAGGGCACAGCAGTAAAATACTGGATTGGTACATTGAAAGTATTTTGTAGCGATAGTGAGGGTTTTATTTTTGGCCTGGAAGTAGTCTACTGCTCAGGGAACACAGATTCTTTCTTGTAGTGAACTGAAATATCTCTGATAAAGACAGAAAAATCAATTAAAGACAGCAAAAAGAAGAAACGTATGTCCCTACACAACATTTCTTTCCCACTTTGTTCATGTGGGGAAAATGTCCAGATGGAATTTGTAAAAGCAGAGTCTACCTTTTAGGATTAGGGCAGCTACCATAAATACTATTTCAGCATTATGGACACACAGCCACTGAGCTCTGAATCTGAATATGCTCTAATAGGCTACTTGTTAAGCCCACATGGCCCATGAGTGCATTTTATCTAATTACAGAGAAGTGCTAGCAATGTGGCACTGTGCCAGAAATAGTAACATATAAGCTTGCGAGCAAAATCAGCAGTTAAAATTCAATCATGTGTGCATGTCTTTATGAAACCATAAACTAATTTTGTTTTATGGACAATATAACGAGATCTCTCTCAGTTTAAATTGATTTGTCATTAATTTCATGCACTGTAAATCACAGCCCAATCCCATGTTAAGTTTATATTGTCATAAACTGCTTCAGTTGATATGGATATAACCCCTGATTTACCTATTTATACCCAAAATAACATTTCTAGAATATTTCCCACAATGAATATAAACCAATATAATGAAACCTGTTTACATTTTGGTATATTTGTGTTGTGGCCTACATTACAGTTACTAATTCCTTAACAAACCAAAGTAAATGAACTCTGAGTTCATCAGGGCAATTGACTATTCCAGTGCTCAGGTTAAACAAGGATCTCACTATTATTAAAAACATATTACAAAACCAAATTAGGATATTAATGCCACTAGAGATCTTCATTTGGTCTCTCAATGTTGATGCTCTTAGTTTTAGAGTTTATTTATCGCGGTATAAAGTACTTCAGTCTTTTTGCACTGAGAAGGCAATTTTCTTGTAATCTATGACAATTCAACTATCTCGAGGAAAAAGGATGGCGCGCAAACGTTTAGCCAAATGCCAGAAACAACCTTGACAGCAGCCTTGCAATCTGATTGTTTCACATGAAGAAACATTTAGGCAGTTTGTTTCACCTTCTCATGAACAGACAGCCAGCCTTAAGTGGCCTTGTCTTTTTTCATGAAAAAACAAAGTCAGCAAAGCCCAAAATTCATTTGGGCAAAACACATTCAAATGTTTTTTTCTTTATGTCTGTTCATATACACGGTTGTACCTAAACATTATAAAGAAATATATATTTTTTTGAAGCACCACCAATGAGACAAAGTCAGGTTCACATAGTTAGCCTTCTTAAAGAGGAATACCACTCAGTTTAAAAAATTCTCTTTAAATTTTTCTCTATAATTATGAACCATTTACTAAATCAAAGGACAAATATTCAGGTCTGCGATGTCATCAAAACATAGGCTGCACCATTTAATACAAATGGGAGACCAACTTTCTAACTCAACATCACTTCCCTCTGTTTTTAATTATTCATTAAAACAATAAACTGTCCCCTAATCCATTTTTGTTATTTGACTCTGGAGTCTTAACAAAAATCTGACATTAGACATTAGAATGGAACCTCCTCTCTTTCACATGCATGTGATACTATACTGAGAACTAAATCTGTGACGTTCAGTCATGCAATCCTGTAGTAAACCTAGGAGTATCATACCAGAATCCTGAAAGTAAGTGGCATTTCCCTTTAAATTCACTCAACGCATGATCTTGCCGTTAGGGTTGGCTTTACATGATACAATCTCTCTGCAATTGTAGGCTGAATGTTTCATGTAGCACTTTGTCCTGAGGGCGGGAGTAGAGAAAAGGCAATGGATCATTAAAATCAAGGGAGTGGATCCTCTCGGGAGCATGACTGCGCTTAGCAAAAGTGATGGAAATTTGCCCCATTAGTTAATATTTCTTGTGAATAAGTTTGACGCGATGAGCTCCGGGCCATACCAAACTGTCATGATTAGCATCCCTTAGCATCCATTAGCATCCTTAGGTCCCAGTATGAGTAAAATTAATGAGGTCCAATCAATCAGTGTTTTAACACCAATGTTTGTCTTTGGCTGGATGGAAACTTCGCACCTTAATGGACAACAACATCACTTCATCTGAAAAAAGCTGCATCATGTAAAGCCACCCTATTGGCCCAATTTTCTAGATCTCAAGGTGCATAACAAGGATATACAGAAAAAGTACAAAGTTTTGCAATGCCATCTCCACGTGTCAACTGTACATAACTAACTTTAAGGTACTACATGTTACATGTAGGATTTTCACAAAATATATCATTACTAGCAGTATTAGAGTAGACTCTTGCCAGTAACCACTGGTTTTTGGCAGGGCAAGACTGAAAATTAGAAAATTGAAAGCATCCTGAGAGCAATGTGCTGCAAGGCACAGCCAAACACTTCCATGATCCTTGGAGACTGGCTGCATGTATTCGTACTGTACATCTGTATTTGAGCAATTCAGCCTCCCATAAAAAGCCATACAGAAAATTTTCTCTTCAACATGCTTTCTAACATTCACTTCATTTTTTTTTTTTATCATTGAAACCTCATACTCTACAAGATATCACAAAACAAATTCAATATTTAACTCACTCCCAGGCCTAACTGTTACAGCCAGATTCTTATCATTTTATCTGACAAATGTAACATCAAGTAAATGTTCAGTCTGTTGCAGAATTCCTTGTGCAAACATTTAAACTGTGACGGTAAATGCCATCTCTATTTGCACCTTCAATAGTACATTTCTACAACTTTTCCCTACATAAGTCACATCACAGCCCGGTGAAATCAATTCTCAAAGTTTGACTACGTTTACATGCACAAAAGAGACCAGGTAAGTGTTAGAAATGAGGTTAAGGCATGAAATTGGACAACTCATTTAGATGCACTGCAATAGTCTGACTTAAAACCACTTTGACTTTACACAGTTAGTCAGACGGCAGATTTCCTTCCTCCACATTTTTATAAAGATTTGCCATATTTTAAGTATTCTAATATGTTAATGAAGAAACTTGTTAAGCACATTCGGAAAAATGATTTACTGTTCAAGCCTATCTAATAAACTAAACCATTTACCTTTATAATAAGGAAATCAATCGTTTTGTTCAGCATAGACTGGACTTTGGATGTTATTACTCTAGAGGTAACGATGTATGGGGATAAGTAACAATAACGCCTTTAATGCTGCTAGATTACTGCCACTGTGATACCTTCCCTGTCCTGGGTCACTGTCTCACACACTAGCACACCCCTAAGAAAGTTTATAAATGGCCAAATTCAATCAGAAATCTAACTGGGTAACCCAAGTTTCTCTTAATGCCTTAAACTGATAAAAGGAAACTAGGTTTCTCATTTCTGCATCAGGAATCAATATTTAAGTGCATGTAAAAGTAGTCTTTGAAACAAAATGAACATGTTCCTGAAAACAAACTGCTCCGCTGACAACTTGAAGGAGTCCATTAGAGCTACTGTTTGAAACAAAGATACTTTGAATATTTTCACATTGAAAAGAATCAGCACAACAAATTTGACAAATATATAAATAGGAAAATCCTGGACATAGCATCCAATAAAATCAGAAAGGGAACTATACAGTACACCATAGGAAATTATCCAAACACAGATGTTAGTTTATACTATAATCCAATTCTGTGAACCAAAATGTAAAGTTATGCAGAATACTGACACTATATAAAGTCTATCTTTTTTTGGCATTATTTAGCAGCTTATAAATGACTTTGAAATAATGGCTTTTGTGTGATTATATGTACATAGATATGTGCACATGTATGCCAGTCAAATCTCTTTTTTGGCTTGCTTTGTGCACTGTCAAATTCTACCAAAATAGTAGCTTTGTTAAGTGAGGCTGAGAAAATATATCTCTTTAGATACTGAGATAGTGCTTTACATTTGAAAAGAGGAGGCTTCAATGACTAAGACTCTCATTGAAACCAATCAGACAATGACTAAAGCGTGAGGTCATTCAGATATAAGGCCATTAAATGTCATAGTTCATGCTGTGAGGTATGTACCTACCTCCCTCTTACTTATCTTCAAAGTAAATGCACTAAAAAGTCACAAGAATTATTTACAGCAGAGGCAGACCTAAGCAAGGCTATTTATAGTTCCACTGCACCAGAAACACTTGAGATGCCTTCCATAACACATTCACAGGGCCTGAACAAGAACTCATAAAAGCTACACGCTGTACAAATGTTGACGTATTTTTATGTCAGATTTAATAAGGTATATGTGGAGAGGTTGTGCAGTTATTACTTCCTATCTCGCCTGCGTTGCCATGTAGCTAACCTGTTTATTGATCCACTTAGTTCACACTGACTGAAGTTTCAGTGTTAGAGCTAGCTATGTTAGTTTGGCTTAAATTATGATGGTTATCCAGCTGCCCATCATAGCCATGAAACCACAAAGTATTCAACATTAAATAAAAAGAAAAAAGACACCATGAAATAAACATGAATAAAATGTGTAAAATATATAAATTACAAATTAAGTCTAATTGGGAAAAATTTAATTATGAAATACATTTTTAAATTAAGGCATTTTTTGGGAGAGGGGGAGTTAATTATGAAATAAAAATAAACTGCTGTAAGATTAAAAAAAATAACATTTCATAATAGTGAGTTGAGTTTTAAATATTTCTTAAAGTAGTTCACAAATTATTGTTTCAGTTATACATTTTACACAATTTATTCCTGTGATTATTTATTTCATTTAATTACTTGATAATTATTTCTTATTTTATTTATTTAAGACTGAACACTTTGGGGCTCCATTCACAATATTCATACATCATGTAATCAGTTAAATCAACAGGAATCTATTCAGAAGAAGGGACATTCAACAGTCCTGCCAAATGTTATCAGACTATTCTATATATGTATTTTCTAGACTGAATTATGTTGAACGATGGTTCAGTTAATCATGGATAAGATACAAAGCTCCTGCTCAGGTAGTATGAATGTGTTATGAACCAGATTTCTAATAAGGTGTTACCTCATATCAACTGCACCACACGTTATATAAAAACATAGCTTTCATATGTGAAACATCTTACAATTTGAGATAAACTTATTAGACAAACTTTCTCTATGCTGATTACTTCTGTCATCTTCTAAAATCCGATATCCAGATTTCACATCCGAGACATAAAAACAAAACAAAAAAACTCCTGAGGGCAGGTGTTGCACATACAGCAACATTTAACAAGTGCCTATCCTTGCAATCAAGATCTGTGTTTCTCTTATCACATAATTTTTGAATGTTTAATAAGATTAACTGCTCAATGGCATGACCTCAGTTTTGCAACAATGACAGCGGCGAGTTGTTGTGGATCTGTCAAATGAGGGTTCTTCTCCATTACTGAGTGGACTACGTAGGCAGGAAAGATGTTACAAAGGTTCCGATATGTTTGATACTGGTGGTCTGGGATGACATACCGCTCTTGATGTTCAACTGCAGATGGCATCTCCCATGGAGAGTTCCAGATTTGTTCCATCTTGTCTGGCATGCTGCGGACCATCACCCGCTCGCAACACGGCATCAGGCTGTTATTTAATGGATACGAATGATATCCATAGGACTCATTACCACAAGGCAGAGGGTCCCAGCTTGCATGCTGCTCACGGCACAGTGGAGGTCGCCTCTGTCTCATTGGGTTGCTATCATATAGCCTTGAATCTGATATGCTGTCCATACGAGTCATACCAAGAGACCGTGTGGGCTGTGAGGACAAAGGTGGGAGGACATTCTGAGTTAGGGGATAGTCTCCAGGACAGCTGGACCTGGCTCCCACTGCAACATGCTGGATATGCGGTGCTAGATGAGATCCAGACTGCTTACGGGGGCCCTGCTTGGGTTCCTCAGGTCCGTAACTCTGTACCCTAGTCAGTGCTTCATGACGAAACCCATGGGAGAAAGTCTGCATCCTACTTTGTGCAGGAGACTGCTGTTGCCCCTTCATGCTCTCCTCTAAGCTACTGTCCACAGAGCTTGGGTACAGGTCCCCATAAGAGGAGAACGAGTCACTGTTTGAATGGCTGAGGCAGGATTCAGGGCAGTGGCTGGGATTTCTCTGATACACACCATGCTCGTGCTCCATGCTACAGAAACTGTCGACATTATGCATGCTGCTCATGCTCATATTTGAAAAATCACTGTGCAGTGAATAATATCCATGGTCGCTAACTGAGTCATACTTTGGGAACTGTTCACTGTATGTAACAGAGGCGCCATGACTATTGGTTACTAAAATAGGAGGGTACTGTACACTAGACATGTGCTCCAGGGAACTGTGTGCGAACTGCAAAGAACCTGGCACCGGGCTGCTGGCTGATCGTGTGTTCAAGGCCCCAGCTGCGTGGCTCTTGGCAGGCTGCATGGTGGGCACACTGAGAGCAGACACAAGGGAAGGCACTGAATTTGTCTCAGACTTCCTAATAACGGACAGTGCCTCTGGCGGTTCACAGGCCACTGAGCGAATACTGGGGTCAGATTGACGTTTGGGGGCCACACGTTTGACCTCAGAGTTGCTGTCCCCCTTTACAGTTACTGGACCAGTACCACATTTGGCTAACGCCCCTTCACTCATCGTCTTCACCGCAGACAACTTGGCAAAGGCCCGTAGTTCATCAGCCACTGACCGCTGTGGCTGGTTGACACGCTCTGGATGATAGTACTTGCACTTGTGTCCATATGTGCACTTTTTTCCTTGTTTAAAGAAAGAATAGATTAAGAAAATTAAACCGTGAACTTAGGCTGACAGAAATTCAACATTATCCAGATATTTCTGGGGAACTTACCATAGGGGCAAGGTTGTTTTTTGTGCTCTGGAACAACAGGACGCTTGCGGAGGAAGTTTTCTAAGCTTGGACCATGTCTTCCCAGTGGATCATCAGGCGGCATAAACCTAAAATATTTCATTATTAAAAAGGTCAGCTTTATTATTTCCAGCATAAAGAGTCCTTGGCACAAAACAGAATTAATAACTGGTCTCCCCCGATTTTCTAATTAGCAATGGTCAGCATACAATGACTAAACAGATAAGTCTTAAAATGTTTTTAATAAATAACCATATCTACTTCTAACCAAGTTTGATATAAAAAAAATAGTTTGTATGGTATTGGGGGAGATATTTTATTTTTAAACAATGTCTATTCCTAGTCCTAGAGTACATTATTACATCATTTGGCTGCCACAAGAATGCATTTTCAGTTTCTTACTTGTCATTGACAAATGAGTACATTAGTAGACGCTCTTCTATGAACTTCTTCCACTCTGGCTTCTCATTTTGCAAGTCCCTGTAGTTGTCATTTGACACAATAATTCCCTCAGAATCATAAGCCAGCTTCACTATGAAGCGATCATCATAGCACACCACTCTCCTGCCTTGAACTCTCCGAGATGGGGTGAAAACCAGGATCTTTTCTTTTTCCAGCTTGCGTAATATTTCTTGATCTGTAAGAGACGTTTCAAGTAGGTTTTAATGCTGACAAATGTTTCATTAAGCGCAAATTCCATTAAAACAACAGAACCAATATTACAATGTATTTTGTAAGGCTGCCCCCGACTCAAAATTTTTTTAGGGATGCACCGATCCACATTTTTTTTACTTCCGATCTGAACCCGATACCTGAATTTGGATATCGGCTGATACCAATACTATTCCGATACCAAAGCTCTGTTTGCTTAAATATTAGTATTACCATTATTGTTGATTTTATATGAGGCTGAAATTAACTCCTCTCAACAGGCAAGTATGATATGTACGTATGTATGCATGTATGTCCCAAAAGGCAACTTGAGGTAAGTATAAGGTCAGAAAAGGAAGTCAGAAAAACAGGAAATCCTGTTAACAGGAAAAAATCCTGAATCCTGATATAATCCTCTCTGAATCACGACTTTGCAAACATTGCATTTTTTGCTTGGTCTGCGGTGTTTCCAGTGTAAAGTATTTCCACACAGCGGACATGTTGGCTAGCCACAATGCTGCTCAATGCTATCCTGCTAGCTGGCTGCAAACTGCGGAATGAATTTCCTGAGCGGGGGCGTGTCTCATAACTCTGTGTCTCATTGAGCCGCGCCTCCGTTCAGGAAATCCTTTCCACAGTTTGCGGCCAGCTAGCAGACTGGCCGGCAGGAATCACTTGTGGAGTCATTTCAGCAGACAACGTTAACGCAGACATGGCTCATGGATATCGGATATCTCTGCAGGCTGGATCGGGAAATTCGGATCCGTGAATTACGCTGGTATCGGTCCCGATACCGATACTGGATCGGATCGGCCCAACGTCCCTAGATTTTTTGGCAGTCATTTTAATAGTCGTAAGATAAAGTCAATAGTCGACCAGTCGTCATGTTTATGATATTAACTGAATCATTTAAATATATATAATTTAACAGCTCCCTGTTAACAGCTTACAAATTAACTCGAAATGTAGTCCCAGTGAAATACTATGATTCTAGGTACCAATTCAATACCACTGTAAAAAAGTTATTTTTGCCCCCAATCCCCATTTAATATTGAGTATCTTCTGAGCCCTGATCCAATACCGGTTTTTTCCTTAATAATAAAGTATTGTATTAAGAAATAAATCCCTGCAATCAAGCTGTTCATTAATGTTTATTTATTATGGCATGCCGTTCAGGAAATTAATCTTTGAATATATGGAATAAATGCTTGAATATATTGAATGAAACTTTAAATATATATATATGTGTGTGTGTCATGCTTCACTCATGTACACAAATACCATATTACTCTTCTTATATGTAAATTGACTGTTGACTGATATTGGGGCTCCAGACTAACTTTTTGCATTGGTTGCACTGGTGCGCCTTATTAGGTGCACCAGCACAAAATGTAGGTGCACCCAAATTTTTCATTGCGTTGCCTTTAATAAGGTCACCTTTTTATCGCTCTCCATAACTTTCATATAATGTGAATTTTAAAACAATTATTTTTTATTTTTAAACAAGAATAAGGTATAGAGAAATGCTTGTCTTTATTTGAAGCACAAGTATATATAAAAAGAAAAATAAAGTGCTTCACTGAGCTGAAATTTCAGACTAGATTTCAAACTAAAACACTAAGCAAAATAAAACATTTCCAAATAAAAGTTTGATACGAAACGTTGTTGACCCGTTCACGAATGCACTATTTCCGGCCATATTCTGACCGCACTCCTGACAGTACACGCAGTGCATTGCGTTACGTCCTTTGTTGTACCTCAGCCAGGGAAATTGTTTCAGCCAGTCCTGAAGGAATATATTTTGACCTTTTTAATTTGGGTCTCGGAGCCGGGCTCTATCCCAGACTCGGTTGTCCCCTCCTCTGGTTCCGAGTCTGATGCTGTCGCCGAAGGACCGGGGCTCAGCAATTTTTAAACACACACAATTTAGCGCAGTGAACAGGACCACAGCCAATCAGAGGCAAGGACCCGCCCGAGCTCTGTCTCTTATTGTTTTAGAACATGATATGATCCTACCATGAGTGTGTGAGTTCGGTCACAGGAGAACACAGAGAGATCATGCGCTTGCGAAATAAATTTATGTTTTCACCCAGGCAGCGTCAGGTGACCTAGAAAAATTATTAGTCGCACTCTTAAAAATTTTGGTCGCACTCTGGAGCCCTGGACATTGATACATATTTCACCAACTAAACATACCAACTACTAGGATTAACGTCAAATAACAACTGCTTAAAAACTGCTTTCCTACCTGTGATGAGGGCATCAGGCCTCGACTGTTCCTTTCTCCAGGCAGGGACAAACACAGTGATGTCTTTGTGTCCTTTCTCCAAGAACCATTCAACAGCAAGTTGGATACCACGGCAAGAGAATACCTCTTTGTTTCCATGACTGAAAACAAAACAGTATGGTATCAGGTCTACTCAAGCCTCACAAAGTGCATTCACAATAAAGCAATGATCAATTAAATAAGAGCATGTGTTTCTAAGGGTTTTACCTCATTGCCACATTTGAGCCATCAATGACGATGGGCCTGAGGTTATCAAAGGTATCCACAGAGTCATCTTCCACTGACACCTCCGGACTAACAGTCTCTTTAACACAGGGGGATCGTGATATTGATGTTATGGCCGTACTGCTGCAAGGTTGAATTTCAGGCTCTACTTTGTTTCCAAGCCTTACTAACTCAGCAAGAATGTCATTAATAAGTGCAGCAGCTCCCAACTTGTTGAGCACCGTCTCCACCTGCTCTCCTGAATAGCCCAACTTCAAAGCAAAATCCATCTTGGTCTGGTACTCCCTGTCACTGGCAGACTTGATCCCTGTTCCCACACTAGTCTCATCCTCACGAAAGTCTTGCACAGTGCTGCTCTGGGAAAAACTGGGCCGGTCAAGACATGGAGAGCGACAGAGTTGTCGGTGGGGTTTTGTGACAGCCAAGGGCTCCTTCTTCTTACACCTGCTGTTGTTCACCTGAACCCTCTGGCACTGCTGCTCTTCTGATTCGCTTTCTGAGCTGCTTCCATCCTCAGAATCGTCAGTGGCATGCTGGGCCTCGCTTGAGTCAATGTTCTCCTCCCTCCATGGGCGTTTTTCCATTTTGAGCTTCTCCACCGTTGACCATACTGTCATCACGTTTGTCTTGACACGTCAGATTTCCACCCCATGCTTCCTCACCTCCACCGCAACCAGGGAATCATACTCAATGGTGGACTTTAGCGCTACAGGCTCTTTGTGTAGAGCCAAAGTAACACAATCTCCCCTCCTAGGCTGAATCAAATGATTAATTCCTGAATGAGAGCAAAAACAAAATGGGAAGTTGCAATTAGTTAAATGTGTTTAACTTTACTAAACCTTAAAACAATTTTGAAAGAAATAATTTGCTTCTATTCCCATACATAGACTTTATTTTGCTGAGTCACCAAAAACGTTTGTTTTTAATATCCATATTTCTTACATTCAAAAGCATGCTTTGAAAAGCTGTTGAAAGTGTAGCAAAAAGGAAGAGTCTAGTAGAATGAAACATTATACTGCAGCAATTTGTTAGCTTGTGAATTCATCTTTAATGCACTTTAGAGTAACATCCACATTAAATTTAGTGTAAATTTAGGCAGCTTAATGTAGACACAGTCTTTGGGGTCTTTAACTCCCTCTACCACAATTGTGGTAGACCAATACATTTTCCACCTGTGGGAAACACTGTTATCTGGGGCAAGCAACAAAATCAATAAGACAAATGGAGCATATTAGTCACCTACCCAAATAAACAAGTTCTCCAAAAACCACAGCAGCACGGAAAAAGGACTGATCTGAATATGGGCGTACGTTCCCACAGTCTGACTGTGTTTTGGTGTTTGTGGTACACACCAAACTAATCCAAGTCTCGTATTTTGTTTCATTTGTATGAACCTGGTTGGTTACAGTCTGCAATGTCTGCAGGCTATACTTTCTGTCTGACTGTCACTTCTGTTCCGAAAGAAATGTTTGTCACACCTACAAATTCTTGATTTGTACAAATTTACAACCAATGACGTATTTAAAGCTGCAAGTTGCCAGTCAAACTATAGCAAAGCATTTACAGTAGTGTTGAGTTTGTAAACTTGTTTGCCCCAGTGGTTGTTGGTATGCAGTGAGCTGCCAACAAATCTGAACAATATTGGGAATATATATACTAATCATAGGTAGGTGGTAATCACATCAGCATGTGAATATTACATAAGTTCACGCTCGCACTTTTTCACAATAAACAAATATATACACACAAAAAACAAACTGTGTCATGTGATCTTCTCCTGCTTGTAGGTGCAATATGGAAAAATATAGATATAACAGAGAACAAAGCCCCCACCCTGGCTCTCCGGCAAACTAGTTTTATAATAAAAATATTATTAAAATAAGTTTAAAATAAACCCCAGTCCCCCTGCACACAATGTGTGAACGTACAGCAGAGCAACCCTTGCGCATACGAGCACAAAACCCTCACTGGTCTCACAAGCAACATTTGAGCCAGACACACATGCAGTGAGTGCATGAGTTAACATAACCTGAGACAAAGTGTGGGCTGAGCAGTGCATCCCTGCGCCTCCAGCCCTCTGACAGACTATATGAATTGAACGGAATTCCTTAGGGAACCAATCTGTTTTATGCTAAAGCAGAGTAGGACTTCAGGGTAGCCTGCAGTATTTAAACAACATGCACAGCTCCAGGTGTATATTTTTTACATATGGATATTGGTAATTAAATAATCTTAATAACAAGTGCAATAATGAACAGAAACACTAGACTACACTTTCCCCCAGTCTTGCAGAGAGTAGAATACAGCAAGCTTCAAGCTTCAAGAGGCGCAGCCCATGATGTGCGTTGCTTAGCAACACAGCCTTGTCATCAGCTAACTCCTTTTTACCAGTCACGACTAACACAAACACAGCTCATCATCTCTCTTCAGGCAGTCAGTAAATGCAGAACACTTACAGCTACACTACAACTCTACACTAAAACTCTTGAGGCAGCAGATTTGGCAAAAAACAAAAAATGACATTATTTAGACCTCTATTAGTGCTGACCATTGAAAAAGATCAATCTGGATATAAATCTTATGTGTTGGTATAAAACAAATAATGACCAATGTAACTGACCGAGATCTCTACTTTCAACATTGATTCGTTTAATGAAATAGCTAATACTATTACAGGCAACACCCTGAACAGGCAATGTAAAATACTGCTTTTCATGGGAGACCCTGAAGGTGGATAGTTATTTTGAGGGTCAATCTATGGCCACAAAGGCGTACCTTTTATTGTCAGTGTTCACTACTACAACTTGTATGACAACAGAGATGGGGAACAGAGAACACACTATGATTTTAACATTTAAAACAAATTGCTGAAAGAGGAGGAATGCTGAGGCACTGTTGTGGAACTCAAACAGTAAACTCACACAGCCCACTACCATTTAAGACATTTTATGACCACATCAGTACATGTTTAAGGGAGCAGAGCTCTTCCAAAGCTTTCCCTTCCACCTCCAGATTCACAGGCTTAGACTCGGCAAGGCCTCCAGACTGTCTCTGCACATGCACAGGCTCGTGTAGTTCTGTTTCATAGCAACAAGTGAAGCAGGGCCCTGAAGCCATCTTTTACATTGCTGACCCGACATAGTATCCAGTATGCATCAGGGAGAAACTGCACTATGGTTAATGTTGGTTGCGTGTACCACTTGGCTAGTGAGATATCTTGACATTAAGACAGATTTGGAGTTCAGTGCAGCCACCACTTTATAAACATTTCATGAGACAGACCAATGAGAGAATGTAACACACAGAGTAAAGTCATTATTACTAAAGGTTAAATGTTCCTTTTACTGTTTTGCAATCTGATAACTTATAAACTACAAAGCTAAAGTTACTGCCATAACAGCATGTGAAGATTATCTGGGCCTAGAAAGCTGAAAAGTAAACAGTCATTCGGGACATAGAACCAAGAAAAACAATATGGTCTTATTTACTTATTTGCATTGATCAGATGATGGCACTACAATGGGACTGAATGCTGGCTGATAATCATTACACTATGTTATTGGAGGACTTGTTCACTGGTTATTTCTATATCAACAGACAATAACAGACACCAAAATCCTCCATATGACCCTGGCAGATCCAGTGTGTCAAGCTAACACTTTCCTCTTAAGGATACGTTTTGTGTGTGCTTGGTTCTTCATCTGCATAGGGACAGCAGTCACTCATCATTATCACTTGCTACAGAAACATAATGCAACACTCAAGTCAAGCAGGAATAAAGGCATCACTTGTCTTTTCAGTCTTTTTTTTTTTAAATTACAAATGTGTCCACATGTCAGTTAAGAGTACTGAAATGTTAGAGCACATCAGGATCATTGCTTTGCACCACAAATGCAGAAAATGAAGTGGTACCTATTCTATATACCCTTAACCTCTGTATGAATTAATGAATGTGAGCAATCATGAATATGACCATGGCCCCACTTCCCCATCTTTAATGTGTATTGTGTGTCATAAAAATTGAATTAAGTTCTAACCAGCTTTGCTCTAATAATGTGAGATTCTACTTAACCAATTTGCAGTCTCATTAATCTGTCTTCTTCTCGTTCATTTGGCTGGTGATTTCTAAGTAGAATTTAAACATTTAGCATACTTATCCAATTAATTATGTGTTTAAACACGCTGCAGACTAGAATTATTTTAAAGTAAAAACGGTCACTTTAGAGGGGGTCATATTAGTCGTAGGCAAAAAGAAAAGTGGGGACTGAACTGTATTCTCACATTAAGCCAGTTTTGCGTCTACTTAACAACCAACAACATGAATGTAAAACCAGATTCAAACACTGCATTGATCCCAGTGGCAGTAACCACACAGGCAACCTGCTGAACTGCTGAATTAACTTAACTATGTTATTGCATTCATCAGCTGAGTAGCTGACACGTCAATACAAAAAAAAAAAAAAAAAACTGAAGTGCTTGATATCATTAGCAACAGCATCATGAGCTGAGAGGGATGAAGGTTAAACAATATGACACTTAAAGAGATCTCATACTTACAATACACTTTATCGGATAACGTTGTAACATCACTACTGCACACGACGTCCCCTTTATGATTGAATCTGGTTAGAGATAACTGGTTTGACATCCTTAGGCCCCGAGTTACGGTTAGCACACGCTAGCAAGCTGGTCTAACGGTCTCCAGTTGGACAGTCAACAGTGTAGCTACAGAAACTAACCGGCCTGCTTCGGTTAGAGAGCGGTTAGTTAGCCGTTACTGCAAGCTAACGCTAGCTCCCAAGCTTGTCAGGCAACCCCGTTAACTTAACGTTAGATAACGGCAGCAGAGCTAGGTAGTTAGCCAACATACAGTAACAACAGCTAACTCAGTGGCTCGACAGGCTAACTTAAACGTCGGGTTGCTAACATCAGTTAGCTTTAGCTGCTGAGCGTGTGCTAATATTTTATTGCCGGAATACTACATTAACTTGAAATAAAGTTGCCAATCATTTAATATTTCAGACGAAGGTGAAACCAGAGCAACACAATACGATTCTCTACATAATCTGAAAGTCTATTAGCACTGCCATCGTGGACTTGAAACGGTGCTCATCTCACCTTATTGCTGTCATCCTCCTCGCCTGTAACAGTTATGTTTTGCTGCCATTGGCGCTGTCGCAGTTTGGTCGGGGTTGCCAGATAACGCGAGGGAAACAAGTAACCTAAGCGGCGAAAAGACACCGGGGTCAGAACACCGGTATAAACGTGCTGCCCGCCACTTAACCAGACGTTTCATCAATCCAAGGCTTTTAAGGTGCTTTCTTTATGGCTTGTAACGATACTTTAGGGACTGTCATTATCCCTTTGCTTGTAGGATGCTGCTTTCTGAAATTAAGGGTTATTCCCAGAACACGGAGTCTTGCAAACGAGCAAGGTCCCTACTGGAATACTTAACATTTTAATAACTTTATGAACTCAAATGGATGCACATTTTAATAAACCATTCACTGACTTCTTTTATTTGAGCTAACTCCGTTCTCATTTCACAGTGCTCCAAACTTTAAAGAGTAATTCTCATTCAGTTTGAATTCAGAAGCCTGATTTAACATACCATACTAGTTTTGCTTTTTAAAATAAATTATGTATAGCGTGTACATGGCATGCATCTACAACACAGGTGTCAGTTATATCTAGATTGTGTGCTGTTATGGGGCAGCACAGCAGTTTTGAGTCTATTACCAGAAGACCAGGAGTACCCAAACTTTTTCTCTTGGAGGACCAAAACTGAAACTTAATGGGGGCCAAAAGCAAACACCTATTGTATTGTATTGTATTGTATTGTTAAGAATTGGTACTAAGATCCCAAATTCCCTTAATTGACTGCCTTCCTGTGCAAAGTATCTGCTTGCTATACTCAGGTTATGAAAAATAATTAGGAATCCAACATATTTAAAGAGCATTTACCACATAATAACTGTAACAGCAATTTTATATTACATTTTTTCACTTATTTTAGGAATTGTTTTTGCTATAAACATTTGGCGGGCCAAAACAAACCATAAGGTGGGCCAACTTTGGCCTGCAGGTCCCACTTTGGTCATCCCTGAGCAAAACAGTACTGCATCTGAATCAGGCTGGGGGCTGTCAGGTACACGTTCTCTGAAGGCGTTCAGGTGAGCTCTAATCTGCTCATCAGTGTCAGCGCACTACAGACTATTAATCTACCAACATTTCCCTGCTTTAGGCCCCATGGAGGCTGGGAACTCCCCCATCCCCCTCAATACCAACAAGTGAGAGAACAAGAAAGAATGAAAATGGAGAAATACATGTCTTGTCGTGTTTATTTTAGTGTAAGGCAGTGTTCTACTCTGACAAAACAGTAATAGATTTTCAAGAGGAATCCCTTAATGTAACATGGATGTAACTTTGAAACAATAAAAAAAAAAATCCAAAAAGAATATTGCCAGTTTTTACTAACCATTTGGAATACAATGTTACAGTGTACAAATAGTTGAGAATATAAATACAAATTATTTGACATTTGTTCAATATTATTCAACACTATAAAAAAACGACATCATCGGACAGTTTAACCTCTGACCAATCAAACATTAAATGCACAAGAAAATGATACAAGGTGAAAATACCAGTTTATCTTTTAACATTTCAATTCCAAACAAAATCAAACTACTTTTTTCATTCCACAAGCTTATAGTAATGCAATAATGAGTGCGTCATTTCAGTAAGAATTTTGCACTTCACAGCTAGTCGCTGAAACATTAGCCACAGTAAGGCCAAATTGGCTTATCAGACCAGAAGCAAACGCAATAAGTTTGAGACTAGGTAACACTAGCTTTTTATTCTTTGATTTGTTTTCCTCTACTATTTTATAGACATTTTTCTCTGGCTTACTCTAAACTGTTTCTTCAATGTCTTATGTAAAGCACTTTCATACACAGAAAAACTGTGCGACGTGCTGTACAAACAAAGTACTGAGGCTATCTACAGTGTGTAAATGAAATGGAAACTGAAGTTAGGACATGTTTTATAATGTGGACTGAGCTCTAATCCCTCTCTGTGAATTGAGATATCCCCCTCTGAGGAACTCCTCTTGTGTTGTTGCATTGAAAATTAGGTACATTAAGAGCAGCTACAAACACTAAATTTGATCATGATGACAGGACAAAACTGGAGCAAAGGGAAGTGGTGAAAAAGCAGTAAACACAAACATAAGCCGGCACTTAAAGCATGAGCATACGTGTGTTTTGGGGTGAAGTAAGCAAGACTGGGAAAGCCCAGCTTGGCTGTTCTATGGAAACCAGGCTAACAGATGCCCATTACACAACTGTGGCACTACTATTGATACCTGGATACTGAGGCTACACATGGGTTTAAACATTCTAGTAAAACTTAATAGCTTAATGAGATGAACCTGTGAGCAAAGCAAATGAAACAATTACTTGCATAACTTACTTTCAATGGACTGACAAGTATGTGACGTGTGTGAAGCAAGCAACTGTTACTGTGCAAATGCAGAACATCCCTTTTGACTTCCCAGAAAGATGTACTTGACTCAGCATGATAGCACATAGTTTCAAATATCAACTCATGTCCTGTCTATCACAGTGTACAACAACGTTTCAGAGGAATCAGTTGTGCACGTACAAAGTAAGCAACAATTACTCCTTTGGGTGTAACATAAAAGCACTAATTGGCACATATACACGTAATGAGTGAGAGGCTTTCAATCAAAGGTTGCCTCGGGGAGTTTGCTGCAGGCGACGACATCCCTGGGTGTTCTTGTTTCGCTGAGGACAGCCATTTCTTCTTTAGGCACACCTGCGTTCACAGGACTCCCAGAATGAGATAATCCCTCCCTACTAGCCACTGGTCTGTTCTTACCACACCGATTATAGGGTTGAAGATTAGCGGCTTTACAAAAAATATTCTCAACATCATCTGACACCTCCTCCATCATTCCAGAATAAACAAAGGTGCTATGAGGTAAACAAGGATCTGATTGCAAAGGAAGGCGACACTGCCTATTGTAAAGCTCTGCATTCTGTGAAATTAAATCACAAGACTCTCTGTCCGACACGTTAGAGCATAGATGTTGCGTTCTGCTGTTAGGAAAATCACTGCTGGATGAACTAGAAAATATTTTGTGTTTTACTTGGGCTTGACTGAGACCCTGTACTTTTTCAGTGATTTCCCCATCTGTCAGAGGAAGGCTTAAAGCCATTTCTGACCTTGTTTGCCATGATAAGGCCATAATGCTGCTACTGTCTCTAACCTCCGATGCAGACACGAGTACATTCTTTTTGTAATATGGTGAGGAATCTCTTTCAGAGTCCTTTTCAGTTTGAGGACAAGCTCTGTTCTCTCTGCATGTGTCAGGCATCTTCAACTCGAGGCTTTCTGTGTCCAGAGACCTACTTCTCCTGTCTAGAGACAACGGATTAGGTGTGGACTGACTGACTCTTGTAAGGCCTAGGTGCCGTGGGAGACTAGCAATTGCCCATGTATTACTGATCAGGTTCTGCTCATACAGGTCTAACATTTGATAGTCACATTCAGCAAATGCATCTTTTTGCAGGTAGCTTTCTTCAAATTCCTGATAGGGCGATGAGATGTCCTCCTCCAGTTCCATCTGGATCTGCTCATCGTATTCTCCCTCATTATGCATATCCACTACATCGAATGTGACTATGGTAGGTAAGGCCTGCATATTTGGAGTGAAGGCAGAGTTTGTCTCCGAATCGTCCGCACTGTTTTGCAAGTCACTCAGCATCTGAGAGTGTTTCGTGTAGTCCACAAGTGCTTGAGAGAAACTCACGGTTTGTCCATCATCCAAATCATTGTTACAATCTGGAGACTGAGGGTTGATATTCCTGTATGGTAAAGCCACGGGCTTGTTTTCCTCAAGATGTTGCTCGTTGGGTTCACAAAATGTTTCAAAATCTGGGTCTGATGTACTTCCGAATGATATGCTGCTGTGCCTTTTCTCACAATCCGCATTCATGGATTTTGTTCTTTTTTCCGTGGAAGCAGGCATACTTTCCTCTTCATCAAATACATCCGGCTCCGTATTATTCTTGTTGACTGTTGCTCGTGGTTTTGAATTTAGATTACAGTTTTTATTCGTGCTGACTTCCTGCCGACCAACCACATTTTGTGCCAACTCCGAGGAATTACCGCATGTGCTCGGCCTCTCTAGAAAATCATGAACTTTGTACAGTTCAGCACTTATTTGTAAACGGTTCATTTCTGGGACAAAGGCAGAATGTGTCACACCAACTGGCTCACTTAAATACTCGCACTGTTTTGAACCGGGAAGTTTTGATTTGTTTTCATAATGTGGACTGATGAGGCTCTCATCAGGCGCAAAAAGTTCATAGAGGGCATCACCGCTGTAACTGTCCCTGGGCAATCTGTCTGTCCTTAGTCTGTCCGTTTTTTCTTGTCCTTCATCTGGCCCCGGCGTAGTTGAATCATAGTAGCCCTCGTCACTATTTGGAACAGATTCTTGATGCTCACTTTGAGGAGTCAACACATCAGCAATTGAAGAAGTGTCCATGCCACTGGCTTGCGGTGCACTGTTACTGTTCAGTAAGTCCATATTGTGAGAACTTGTAAGGTCAGCGGTCAAATCGGTGTGGTCTTGATTGCATGTATAGCACATTTCCTCTGACACATTATTTCCCCAGAAATCCTCCTCATCCAAATCTTCTGGTGAGGCCATTTCTTCGCCACCACCCTGATAAGTAAGATAACAAGAAGCCCTCTTTCCTCCATTTCTGCTCCTCTCTCCAGAAACTGTGCTCTCCGTTATGCTGTCATCTTCTTGGTCTGCAATAATGTCCCCGCAGCCAGTGAGTGAATCAAAGCTTTTTAATGATGCAACATCTCCCAAAATCAGGTTTAGCTGATCCGATGAGCCAGCAGGTGTTTCGGACTTCAATACAGGCTCCGACATTGTGTGAAGTTTCAGACAAGGCTCACTATGTCCTCTAGAGCTCTCCTCATAGTCACTGGAAACCAGGGCCACCAAACTCATTTCCTCCATTTGATCATCACACATCTGACCATCAAGCTTAGACTTTAGGCTTTCTTGCTCCACACTCTTCTCTAAAGCCACTGTGTCAATACATTCAGGACCAATGGAAATATCACATATAACGTCTGCAAAATCAGGCACATCAGGCTCAGATCCCAGGCACTCTGTGACATACTGGCTGGTGTTGTCCTGGACAACAGGCACCTCTTTCTTGCAGTGAGGAGAGGTCATTGCAATCATTTCAGTTTTATCCAAGCCAACATTTCGATGGTTTCTGTACTTAAAACTGTTAAAAAGACCCCTTAAACCCCTTTTCTGCCGGGTGAGGGTCAGTGATTTCTGGTCAGCAGTGGGGTGACTACATTCATTGTGGCAGCTACTATGGAGGTCTCCAGCAGAGTCCCTCTGGCTGCAGTACTCAAAATCTCTAGCTGAGGTGTACCCACTTCTCAGATTGTCATCATGACTAACTTTACTTAGCCCATCATGTGTTCTGCTTTTGGTGATGCCTTTCTTAGAAGACCACTTGCTCGGATTTTTACTCCTTCCTCCAAAAAAGCTGGGTAAAATACAGATGCTTTTACGAACTCCAAAGAATGTCAGGGCAGTCCTCCTAAATCTTCCAGATTTCTGGGATTTCACCGTAGCGTTCATCGTATCCGACGGAAGCTCTTCGGTGATGTCATCGGGGCCGCACCTGGAATGCTGTTCGGAGACTGAAGCTAAATCCTTGGTGTTACCCGGTAGCTCGTCTACCTTGCGAGAAGCCATGGTTACCACATTTACAACAGCAGTCCAACAGAAGGCATAGTAGCTGAGTTTTCAGTCAGCTGATAAGATCACTGCAGTGAATGTGTCCTCCATCTGATATGAGCCCTGTATTGAGAAAGTTGAGACCAAGGATCAATCATCAATTAAAGATTCTGGCCACACACAGATTTTTAACTTGCAATTTCTAATACCGTAAAACTTAAATTAATAGCCCGGGCCTCTTTTTGCTTCAGTCACTGAACTCAATCTGCCAAATGGGACAAGCCATTCCTTCTGCTCAGCAAAGATGGGGAATACTATCAAATTGTTTATTTAAACTAGTATGAAAATCATTCATTTGATAATTTGGTGTTTATGGTTTCTGTAAAATGAACTGAATGACTGAATTGTGGAGAATCTAACTAGTGTAATATATTTGTGTAACAAATCTAAGCAGTTTAGAACTTGCTCAAGTGGATGACCCATTGGGCTTTAAGAGGTTTTATACCTCTAAAGAACATCTATAAAATCCAGACCAGGCGTCTAACTAACTGACTGTGTTTAATTGTCAAAATGTGTAGCCTGGTCATAAGCCTATTTTACTTTTGCCATCCTCTTGTATTTTGATATATGAGAGTCATATATGTGTCAGCTAACATTACTCAACTATTTTACTATACACTTTAATGCTTTGTTGTGGTACCTACTACATGCACACTTGTCCTGGTGTATTCTCTGGTCCAGGAATCTGCTATAGTTCGTTTGTGTGTTGTTTCTGTTATTTTGCTGCAACTTTTTAGATTGTTTGTTGCTACCTTTGATCCAAGTAGGCTCACTTCAACTTGGACTCTGGTTAATAGTAATACTGTATACAAACTGTAAAACTACAGCCCAGTGACTTTAGTTTAAACTCCTTTACATCATCAATAAAAAGCTTATATGCCTAAACAAATTAGTGCATTAATTAAAACATTTTATTTTTTAATTGAATTTTTCATCTTTACATATACATTCACATACTGAATCTTTCATCTGTGTTTTGGTTATTTGTGTTTTTTGTATATTTTTCAAGTATGTTATTATGTAATTATATGTTGTTTTGTGGGAAAATAAAACTAAACCAATAAATACAACTTCAATAATGTATATCTAAACTTATGTGCATTCCAGAGAAAGACTAAGACAGACACAGATAAAACTACCTAACATTTATATTTAGTAATATTAAGTGACTGATTGAACGTTAATCTAAGATGAAATAAAATCCTCATTGTGGTTTCTGGTTTGGTGCTCAGGTGATACAGCAACAGGCTAGAGATGGCACTACGCTACAGCTGTGACCAGAGGTGGAAGGTGGGTCGAAAATACTCCAAAAATGCCCTTTAGGAGAGACAACAGACCGAAGCTAACCTTGAATCCAGTCCAACTACCAGAGCCAGTTCGGGACCGTAGTGAAGAAACCAAAGTGAACGCCACATTAGCGCTTTCAAACGATAAAGCTAAATGAGTCCCAAAGTAAACACACTCACCAACTAAAGCCAAAACCTCTCTGAACGGACTTCTTGTTGGTTTCTCGCCCCGGAGACGTGCTTAGCTCTCAGTGCATCCTTCCCGGTAACCCTCACTTGGAATTCAACTTCTGGTTGCTGCAGTCGGCTTGTGGTCGACTCGGGCCCCGGAGCAGTTCCGAGCAGATACGGTGTTTCATTTGTTTCCTTGCTACCGTTAGCTAGCCGCGTTAAGCCCACTCACCAGTGTGTGCTGCAGTCTGTGGCTGTAATGTGAGCGGCTGCTAACGCTGGGTAACGTTAAACCACATCGCAGCAAAGCACTGTGGGAGAAATACACGGGGATTGGATTAGTGTGTGTAGTTAAGCCACGCACCCATTTTACTTGAGATGTTCTCAATAAAACCCCAGCGTTTAAATGCTGGATGATGACTTCCTCTCCCGACTTCTCAGGTAATTCTCCCAAATCTCCTCTCGTGACTCTCCTCTCGGCGCATGCTAGTGACGCAACATGTGTGTAACGTGTGATTTATAACATTATAATAATAATGATAATAATAATAATAATAATAATAATAATGATGATGATGATGATGATGATGATAACTAACCTTATAAAAATACGCATCAGCAGCATAATAATGCTATTAATAATATAATATTTCATCTCATATTTGTATGTTTGATAAAATGCTATGCTAATATTTTTTATATATAAAACTAATAGAGTTCCCTCATCAAAACGCATTTCTATCAATTCCGAAAATATCTATACTTATACTGCTAAAACAGAACTTGGGTAAGCCCAAGTCTATCTATCTATCTATCTATCTATCTAAAATTATATAATGCTACACATTGTATATCATTATGTATATAAATAACTGTATATATTGTTTTATATGTGTCATCTTTTGTTCTCTGTGTGTAGCATGAAGGACTGCAAACTGCATGGAGAAGGGAACCGTGATGAGGTGTAATGAAAAATATCACTCATCTGTGAATTAAGATTTTTTTTTTCAAAATATAAATTTTATTTATATGCAGCAGGACATAGACATAAGAACACGCAACAGGGGAGACACATACACAAGACAAAAAAAAAAAAAAAACATAATATATTTAAATAAATTACCAAAACACAATAAATAAAAAAACAGCAACAACAAGATGTAAAGGGAATTGCCTCATGACCGTAATATTTAACTAGAAGGAAGATATGGAGAGTATAACAAGAGGTTTTCAAACCTCGAGAAGGTTTATGGGGATATAGAGGAGATAATGTTGTTTCCACAATCTCTTGGTGTAATCACAGTACCAAAACAAGTGAAAACATATTTAATATGAAGGTCACAGACGGAGCACTTCACTTCAGGTTTAGGAGAAGGAGAAAGCTCAGGATGGATCCTTTTCATTCATGATACATAACGGGGGAGAAATACATTTAAAAAAAAACATTTTAGCATTAAAATATTTTCCTCTTTGCGGTCACATTTACTATACATACATTTACAGCAAGTCTCACTGAATTTTAACAAGTAAGCAGTATGATGCCCTTTTCAAAATTTGGTAAAACCTTATGCTACAGTAGAAAATCACCGTGATACAGTGCACAATCTGGAATTATTTACAGTACAGATTTACTGAGAGTTAATTAACTTTTTACAGTGCAATTTGGTGTTTCCACCCCGCAAACAAGCATCAAACAGCTTATTTACGGTTGTGCTTTTATTTTAATACTGTTTTTCAAAGTGCTTTTAAATAGTTTTTGGTCCTCTTCATTTATGTCCTCCTTGCTGGTGTTGTTGTTGGTCTTCTGAAAACCGAGTGTTCCTGATTTTTTTCATAATGTATTTTCCATTTATGTTTTTGACTGTCGGACATCTGTCCACTCCATTTTGGTGTTTTGCAGTGCCTGAGTCTTCTTCTCATCCACCTGCACATAATCCACTCTGTTTTCATCAGACAGAAAAGGCTTCTGCTAGACATAGAGAGGGCGAGATGAGGAGACAGCAATGTGAATACTAACTTATTAACTTAACTTATTTACTAAATTAACTTAGTACAAGGATGCATGACAGATAAATCTGATATTTTACAGCATTTTATGGCTGCAACTGCATTTTAGTTGTAAATATTTTCCTTACATCAATGATTTGGATTGATTCATTAACATAAACCATAAACATACCTGCCTGGACAGAATGAATAACATTGTTAAGCAATTTAAGCGTGTGTAGGTTAATATGCAACTTGTATATTTAACAGCCAAGGGACATTAATAAACATTAACTAATTGACATAAACGGTCAAAAAAGTTCCCAGTGTGAAACTGTTTATTTCTATGAATTACAGAATGGACGTCTGGCCACCTCGCACCCTATCAAGGGCTAGATTTGGCTCATGGACCTCAAGTTGAGTATCACTGGTCTACTGCTGCACAATGGTGCAAAACATTGAGTCTACACATTGAAAGATGGGGGATTTTATCTTTCTTTTTGATAATAATACGCCAATGTAATTTATCTGATCAAAACATACCTTCTGCACAGGAGACGGGGATGCGGAATTGAAATCCAGTGACAAATAATCAAGGTTGGATCTTCTCGCCCAGGATTGAACCGCTCCGTCAAAGGTGAGACCGGACTGTTGCATTGACTCCTGTCAGAGAAAGAAACAGATGAAGACCTTGCTGAATTATCAGTGTTCCCGGTTAAAATGATCTTAAATAAGTAAAAAGTCAATTTTTCCAGTTTTTAGTTGTCAATCAAATTTTATATGTGCTGCATTATTAGTTAGAAAAAGCTACTTCTGTCCACAGTGCATCCACTTGATGCATGTCAGCAAGAAAGCCCAGCTCACCGATACATGAATTAAATGCTTTTCTTAAAACTTTAATTCTGGGAAGATTAATTACATATTCACCCATTCCAGGAACAGACTTGTACAACACACCCTGAAAGGTCCCCAGCGCGATTACAATTTGCTGAGCAAAATATTTTCGGAACACACAGTAATTTTCCACACCCACATTCTTATTTAGCTGTGTGGAGGTTAGAGCACTTTTTCCCACTCACAAATGATCCTACAATTACAAGAATGTCAGATGTTCCTCTTTTTTAGGGTTCTGTAAAACAAAACCTAGTGGCATGAGGTCCAGAATTATCTAGAAAATGTTTTCAGTGATTTAAAGGTTGAAAAGGTTTTGCAGTGTTATGTTTTGTTGCTATGCAGATTTGCCCAAACACGGCAATATAATCAAAATATGATCACGCATAGTTTTACATTTTGTGGGCCAGTTATCAGCAAAAAGTGGATGATTCATATGTTGAAATAAGATACACGACAAAGGGAGGGGAAGAGGAGGGACGACCTAATAAGCTACATTAAAAGTATAATACCATCAGCACTACTTCCAATCATAAATTATTATTGATAATGTCCAGGTCTTTGCAAGTCAAATTGCACTATATCTTTTTGGTGCATTGAAAGAAACAAAAAAAAAGTGTTTTCACTACTGTAAACAGAAATTTTACCATTGCAGTGCAGTTTGTGTCTTCATCTCTTGGTATGATCGTGTTTTCAAGTCTTCTTTCAAGAGGTAAAAAGCTGAAAACACACAACAAAAACAAAAATCTGTCTGAATTTATGTCAGATTAGAAACCAACTATGACGTTTTACAAATAGAAACTGAGAAACTGAATATCATCATTGAGTTGGGTAAGTATATTTATTATATTTATTTCTTTAGTTATTCATATTTTCTGAAGCTGTCAAAGTTTTTTTAGGGTCATTAATATTTGTAAAAAGAAGATCAATCAAAGTTGAAAAACACACAAAATGCTGGGGTAAAAAATCCCTCTATAGGGTAATTTTTAGCTCACATCTATATAGTCAGACAGACTTTGTGGATAAAGATACTTTGTTTTTCTCACCATGATTCAGTCATCGCCCTGCTCAAAGGTAGATGAGTGGGACATTCTGTGATTGTAGAGAGGCCTCTCAAGTCAAGAGGTGGGGGTCGAGCTGTGAACCAAGAAAAGACAAAGTAACAGGATTGGTTGTAATTTGCCACGGAAAGGACAGCTTTTCAAACGTGTCATGATCACTGTATTAAAAAAAAGTCTGTGTATCTGATATCTGCCTGAATCCTGTACTGGTATTTACAGCTATGTATCATTAGCACAGCGATGCAGACAAGGATCAGAATTGTAATTGTAAAACCCTGTTTAAAGCTGAACAGGGAGCACATACTCAAAAACATCATAAAGACAAGTGAGAAATAAAAGCTCAGTTTTGTACACAATGCCATTTAACATTAAACCAACCATAGCTGTTACAAGTCTCACCTCTCCTCAAGCGAGGCTTGAGATGCCGGTGAATTGGAGGTGGTGGAACATCTCCAGGTGGACACACTAGTGGGCTGAGAGTGGTGGAAGACTCAGCATTGCTATTTGCATTGAGGAAACTGAAAGTCCTGGGGCTCATAGGGATGTAACCATCACATTCAGTGGTGGTGACAGAGGGAGAAGGGGAAGCCATGGGGACATATGACTCATCCTGGTAGTTTTGAACTTGTACTGTATTTAAACAAGGCTGTTGAAAGACAAAGCATCATGAGATCAGAATGCACTATACTGTCATTTTGGTACAACTGGAACATTTGTTAAGGCCGCTGTGTGTTGATGTTTTTATCTGTAGAGAAATTATACTACTACGTAGGGTGCTAAAATAGAACATTTTCAAATCCCACAATGGTTTTAAAGGGATGGTTCGACAGAGTCAGACGAGTAGATCGACACCACTGTGATGTCTATATAAAGCTACAGCAAGCAGCAAGTTAGCTAAGCTTTGCACAAAGGCAGGAAACGGGGAGAAACAGCTAGCCTGGGTCTGTCCAACGGTAACAAAATCTGCCTACTAAAGCTCCCTAATGCATACATTATATCACATTTGTTTAATATGCAAAACAACTAAATGTTAAAAGTTAAAAGTGGCCGTGGTTCTGTGGTTATGTGTTGGCCTATTGGTTGGCCAGGCACAGGGACTTCCTGGAGTCTTGTCATCACGGTGAGGTTGCCAGGAAACCAGCAAAAACTCCAGGTATGGTAGGCTAAGTTAACCACCTCTAAGCCAACCATCTATAGTGTTATAGCTCCAGCAGAACCTCCAGGAAGTTACTGTCTGTTTTTCAGATTGAACAAATTAGTTATATACTGTGTCTAGTCTTTGTGCTAAGCTAAGCGTAGCAGCTGCTAGCTGTAGTTTTACATTTATGGCACGGACATGTGAGTGGTATCAATCTTCTCAGCTAACGCTCAGCAAGAAAGCAAATAGTTCAAGATCTCTTAAAAAGTGTTTATGATTATCTTACCAAATTAAGACTCTGTCTCCTGTTCCTCATCAATCTACTTTCAGCATCTCCTTAAAAAAAAAGAATTATTGATAACATTAGTTTACATTCTCAATAGTACAATTAGCTATCATCG